GATAGATAGATAGATAATAGATAGATGATAGATGATAGATAGATATAGATAAATGATAGATAGATAATGATAGATGATTGATAGATGATAGATATAGATAGATGATAGCTAGATGATAGATGAGATAGATAGATAGATGATAGATAGATAGATAGATAGATAGATAGATAGATAGATAGATAGATATAGATAAATGATGGATAGATAGATATAAACTTTGGTTTTGTTTCTCTGGAGAACCCTGAATAATAAGGGAAACTATTTTATCATATATAAAGCTTTGTTATAAAATTTTCTTTATTAACCCTCATGTTATATAGTATGGAACTGATTAATTCAGTAATAAAAAATGCAACAAGAGACTAAAGTGGAAATGTTGATGATAAATAAAGAAACCATTGTTTGTTTCAAAATTGAGCTATTACCAAAGAAGGAAGGAGGTGGAAATACACTTAAAAGGATACTCAAAGGTACTGTTGTTGTCGTTGTTGTCCTCATTGGAGAGCGAGAGAGAGTGTCAAAGAGCGAGAGAGATGGAGAAATGTGTTTTCCATTATCTGATTAATCAGTGGATTTTTCCAGTACTTTAATTATATTTCAATACTTAAGAGTACCACAATTATCTAAATTATCTAAAATTCACTAGTTTGCATGTGTTTCAGAGAGCAACTAGTCTCAGATTGGGTGGCTTAAATATTCACCTCCTTTGGTTTGATGTCCAATGGTTTATCTGCTTATCAACATAGCAGTTATCCTGACTGACAACCTTGAATAGTCCCTGGCAGGTCACTTTATCAGCTTTTTAAAAATTTGTGGTCTGCTTGCAGTCATAAATACTCTATTGAATAACAGATGTACAATGACCACATCATTACACGTATCAAAACTTTCTCCAGCAATATCTGAAAATTTCCTGGCTATCCTTTTACAAAAATCAATAACGTTCCTATTTAGTGGACTAAAATTTAACTCACTGCATATTATTTTTAATCTTCAAGGGGAATAGAGCATATTAGTTGTTATTTAAATTATCAGTAGAAGGAAAATATTCGGCTGCTTTCAGTGACAAAACATTCAAAAACCTTTATAAAGTTTTTGAACTAACAAAAAATAGATTATTGGATTGCAAAAGCAAAACAAAAATTGAGACACTGTGTAATTATAATAATGATAATACTGTCATTTAATGTAATTCTCAGAACAAGCACTGTTGTTCCTATTTTCACAGGAAAAGAAACTGAGATAGAGAAAGGCTAAGTAACTCACCAAGGGCCAACCCAGTACTAACTGTTATTGCTGGGATTCAAACCCAGTAAATCTGGCTCTGGAATTCAACCTTTTAAGTGCTATGCAGCATCATATCTGTACCACAAAACTTAGACCATACATATGTGAAAACATCTCCCAACCTTCCCAGAACGTAATAATGTTTGGTGAATCTAAATTTAAGCTTACCTTTAAGTCTCATGCAAATCAGAGATTCCTTCATAAGCTTCTACCATAAAGATTTTTATGACCAAGACTCCTTCATAGTTTCTGAAAATAATTAGAAAAAAAAAATCATTGTTGGAAACACAAGTGGTTGAATTAAGTCACCCACATCCTCACAACAAGAAAAGAAAGATTTTTAAAAAACTAAAAATCAACAACTCTTCTTAAACCTGTCCGAGGATTGAGGTCAGTGGGCAAACTATTGCCCCAAATCTAGAAAGACAAAACAGACACAGAGAATCACAGCTTACCAAGAGCAAAAGCCCAGGAGCAGTAGCCTGCAGTTAGAACCAATATCACAGCTGGAGCCAATATCAGCAGGAAGACTTTACCTATAATTAATGAATTGTTGTAGGCTCAGGGCAGACTAGCTTGAAAGTGAAAAACTTAGAGGAGGCCCAGGATTAGTGCCCACCCCCCTTCCACCCCATTCTTATGAGATTTTCCTTCGGGAGGCCCATTGTTCTCACTGTAAAGATTAAAGAAAAATCTTTTTGTGCTTCAGGCCAGAAGAGAGAAAAAGTAACTACTTTAAAATACACTGAGAGTTCTCGGTTTTCCTTAATAAGACCTGCCCTCAAGGAAACCAGACCCTCAACTACTCGGGTTTTACTAAAGATTAACCAACCTTGGAGAAGAGAAATACCCAACTCCAGCCACCTCTAGCCTTCCACATGGAGTAAGAGAAATACTTAACTCAGGATTAACTAAAGACTGATACCTAATCACAGAACACTTCCCCTCCACTACACCTTACCACTGCGTCAAACAGGCTCCTGTGTAATAACAAAGGATGGCAGCTAAAAGGACTGCCAGTCTCAGACTGTACTTAGGGAATGTCTAGAAAAACTCATGGAAAATATACAGTGAGAAACAAATACACTGTAAGAAATTGTCTCTCACAATAGTCACAGCAATCAATAAACATGACCTAACTCCCAGACAGATAAAAAAAAATCCATCTGCTAAAGTCTTATCTAACTCAGTTCACTTTGCCTGATATACAGTTACAAATATGGTTGATATTAATCTAACTATATCAATAACTACTTTAATAAAAGCAGTCTAAAGATACCCATTAAAAGACAAACAAAGTGAATTAGGAAAAACAAGACCCAACTAAAAGTTACCTACAAGAAAGGTAACTGCTTAAGCCCCAAATCCTTGTTCTTCAAACAAAGATGATTCATGAATCTCTCTTAATACAGACTTTTTCCCTCATAAGTTATTCCAGTGTTTTTATACCTAGCATATCCCTTAAAATATGCTGCTTTCAAAATAACAGAAAACCAACTCAAAGTGATCTAAGAAGAAATAAACATTTCAGATCATGGAATTCATTTGTCCAAAACTTCAGGTCTTGGATCAACGCAGAGCTCAAACCCTATCACAGAATCCAGTTTCTCTCAATTTTTCCACTACATTTCCTCTATGTAATTTCATTCTCTGATAGATTTTAAGAGGGCTGCTAGAAGTGACCAGGTTCAAAACCAACCAAAAATAGTGAGATTCTTTCCCCACAACTTGGAACCAGACTTGTTTTGTTTCATAGTTCCAACTGGCTTTGGTGGCCATAGTTAAACCCCCCATAGTAGCCTGAGCAACCTATTGAACATGTGGATTGGGCCTGTGTGGGTTAAATGCCAGTGGAAACAAGTGAGATGAAGGAATATGTGATCTTTTGGAGGGAAAACAGGTAGTTACCAGGACAAGGGGGTTTGAAAATAGAAGTCCACTACATGTAGTTGAACAAAAATATTATGTATGTTTCCTACATTGTGCTCAAATAATTTGTTCATTTCTTCCCACATGGTTTCTAATATATATTTGGAAAATTGAATTAATTTGAATTAAACCACACTGAAATGAAAGAACATGAATTGAAATAAATTGAAGAGGTGACTATTAGAGATTGCTCCCAGCTGCATAATTTTGTAACAAGTAGAATTAGGAAATATTACAGGAATAAACTGGCCTTTCATTCTATTACTCAGTGCAAAACAACAATATTTTAAACAAGAACAAGTAATAATTGTCTAAGATCTGGAAGTGGGTTTTTTCCTATTATATCTGATTTTAAAGTTGACAAATAGGAGTTTTTGTTCATTAGTTTTTGAGCACTTTGTCATATTGCTGGTACATCCTGCTGTGAAAATTCTATATAATAACAAATCTTTCACAAAAAATGTGGAAGAGTAATTAATTATAAACTCTTCAGAAACATCTCTTGACATATTTAAGATGAGATTCACATTAGGTTCACCCTCTTCTCCATTTAGGCATGACCTTTTCATATGGAGAGATTATATCAGATAGGTCACTGCACTTCATGGATGGCTAATTAAAGCATTATACAAATAGCAAGAAAACAGGAAGAGATAGAAGGAAAATAGGGGAATGAAGGATAAACATATATATTGACCTCTGCATTTTTCTAATCAAATTAGTCACATTCATGCAAGACCTTCCCTTACTCTTGAAATGAAGCATGAGCATACTTTACATAATGTACATCAAGTCACATGCTGCGGGGAGACATTTGTAACACTAAATACATCAGTGAGCACTCTGAGTCAGATTAAAGGCCAAATGTGTGTGTGTGTGTGTATGTGTGTGTGTTTTAAATAACTATCTTGCCTAAAGACTGAATTTCCTAAACATTTATAAGTCAGAAAAATCAGCACCTTAACGTTCAAACAGCTTTAAAAACTAACTAAATCCATAACATGAAAACATAGGAAGAGAGTTATTAGCAAAGTCAGAAATTAATGTCATTTACACCTCCATTGTCATTTATAACTGTTTGCTTATTATGAAGCATTCTTGCTTTATTAATAACGTTATATAATAACATAGCTTTAGAAGGTTGATCTTATTGGAGGGAGAAAAGAAAGCACTCAAGGAAGGATGGCATACAAGTAACCTAATGTGTCACTAACGCTCATTAAAATCTCATATAATAAGATGTAAAGCCCATGAGTTAAACTCTATCAGAATGAACTGCTACCCTAACCTCTCACTACTCTGAATTTAATAGAATTTGGGGGAGGATCATAATCATCACTCCATAGATAATATTTGTAGTATATCAATATCTCACAAGTTTTAAGTACTTATCCTAAAAGTGTGCCATAGCCAAGTGTTTTAAAATTAAATAAAAATTCATTTCTTCATTTCTATTTATAAAAAGAAACTCTGGAAACAAAAAGTAATAGCAGGGAATTAATGTTTAAAACTTCAGCATATGACAAATGTGTTTGATCGTAGAAGTTATCTTTTCAGCTCATATTAAAATCTCAGTGGCTATTGTTTTGTGGCATTTAGTTTGAGATAGTCTGAATTTTTAAAAATATAAGTGTGGGTTCACTAATAACTTTGTCTACCAGCTTTTCAAGGTATTTCTGCAAAGGGCTGCCAAATATTTTCATGGAAAAAAACACTAATTTCATGAAGAAATATGGCTCTACCATATATGGCTCTTGTATAATTTTAGACAAATTATTTTAGACAAATTATTTTAAACAGTTTTAGACACTTCTATGGACTTAATTTATCTATCCATTAAATGGAAGTTTGGGGACTTTCAAGTCAAGGTGGTATCTAGCTAATCACACATGATTTTTTTTTTTGCCATATTTCTATTTACACATTAAATAAAACAAAACTGAAAGGAATGCAAAATTGCAATTTGTCATCTTATTTTTTATATAAAACAAACTTTCTACTTTCTAAAATTAAGGCGTTCAACTCAGTTATTTCTAGTCATTCCATATCCAAGATGCTAAAAGAAACAACACACAACAAACAACTGTTGATTGTAAAAATATTTAATGTTTAAAGAATAAAGAGCTACCGATTAGTCCACTGTATAATCAAGCTGCAAATTATGTTTCATTCTTCCTTTAAGATTTCTGTGAAGTGTGCCATTTACCACTGAAAATATACTAAATTTCCTCAAACTGAAGACATTATCAAAGATAAGAAACATTATTTTTGTACCATGAATGAAGAAAAAACATCTCTAGTTAAACTACATCATATCAGTGACTGAATGATGCATACCTGCTTTAGAGATGCTAAAACGTAGGGGGAGGGGGGATATGCTCCTTAGAATCAATGGGATATAAATACATGTTTGGGGAAAGAAAAATTGAATAACTTTCTTTGAACTTTGTAACATCTCTTATAACCCATTTTCTGCAAAGCCACTTTCTCAAAAAGTCATTACAATATCATTAAAAATTGTCCTTTAAATAAGAAGGTCAAATACTCTTCGATATCAACCTTGAAACATTTATATTCAGCTGAGATTCCCAGATCCCATCATTTAGAAAGTGAAACGTGAACCAGTTCCCTGTAAAATATATCTAATTCCTGAAAAAATTAAAATCCATAGCTCCTATTGTACTAGGTAAAACTATAAATACAATTCTTCAGAAAAACAAGTTATATTAACAAAGTCAAATTACTGACTTTATACCTATACTTAGCACTGAGAAAATTGGAAATTGAAGTTTTTACCTGCATTGATCAAGGAACCTGATAAAGTTAGCTATAGTGATGTCATAAGACCTCTCTTTCTAAATACCAAATAAATTTAAATCACTGTAGACTAAGAAATACTTATAGAATGGCAGCAAGTTAAGTTTCTTAGTCTAAACCTCTTCCCAAAATCTAAATAATATATAATTCAAGAATTAGAACCATCCAATCTTCCCATAGCAATTAAAATAAGATACAAAATCCTTACCACGGACTGTAAGGCCCTGAGGGCTCTGGCCACTGCAGGGCTCTCCTACTGGGCATCCACTCTGCTCTGGCTACCTCTTCTCCAGCCACACTGACCCTCTCTGTAACTTTTAATGGGGTTCAGTGATCAACATGAACATAAGTTTCCACTTTCAATTTTTGGAATGCTGAGTATAGATACAAAATCAATTAGTCTTTGAACTGATGTGCTATTTCCTGCACAGGGAGCACTTTTCTCCCATCAATCACAGTTTTAACATTTTTATATCCTTATAATTTGCTCCAACGAC